TGAAGTTGCCCTCCTTAGCTTCAGGTCATAGTTCTGGACTCTGGAAGCCCTGCCAAAGCTCTGCTTCAGTGCAGAAGGAGCCCTCCGAGTGATAAGAGTGAAAGAAGCATCTCAACACCCTTAGCTGAAGAAATGCTCTTGTTCGTCATATACCCAGCCCTTTTGCTTTCCATTACCCTTGCTGCATTGTCAAATATAGAAGCCACTAGTCACTTGTGGATATTTAGATTTAAATGTAATCAAAGTTAAAAATTGAATTCCTCAGTCACACAGTCTGTATTTTGAGTGTCTGTATTGGGCAGAACAAATAGAAAACATTTTCTGTATTGAACAGCACAGATATAGAACATTTCATCACTGCAGAAAGTTCTGTCGGATGGCACTACTCTACAATATTCAGGACAGAACTGAGCCTGGGATTTCCAAAGAGCATGTTGAGTTCTGAGCGTTCCCTTTTGGCTTATGTGCAAGCGCTTGTCCATAGTTGCTCTTGACCTGGCTTCCTTCATGTGGAACAAGCTCACACAGACAGGCTATTTCAGACTATGCGGGTTTCCAAGAATCTTTCTGCCCAAAAGTATTTCACTGCTATAGCCAAAAGAGTGTGAGAGTGCCTTCAAGGAAGCTGTTGAAAACAAAACCTTGTATGGAACCATTCTAGAATAGTTTGGGTGCTTGTAGTCATGTTCCTTCAAGAATGGAACATGACAGCCGGGCATGGTGGCTAATGCGTGTAATCCCAGCCCTTTAGGAGGCTGAGACAGGAAGATCACCTGAGGTCAGGAGTTCAAGACCACCCTGGCTAACATGGTGAAACCTCATTTCTACTAAAAATACAAAAATTAGCCAGGTATGATGGTGCACACCTGTAATCCCAGCTATTCAGGAGACTGAGGCAGGAGAACCACTTGAACCCAAGAGGCAGAGGTTGCAGTGAGCCACGATTGCACCATTGCACTCCAGCTTGGGCAACAAGAGCGAAACTCCGTCTCAAAAAAAAAAAAAGAATGGAACATGACTACAAGATGGGTCCAAGGGAAATGAACAGAAGGGCAACTGATGTGATCAAATCCTGAAGAGTCTCCAGTAAGCTTTTAAGAAGGCTAGACTAACAAATATGAAATTGCCAACAATATAAGATGATATTGAACTATGGGCTTGATTAGGAATGTCATAGGAGGTCTGGAGATGAGAGGATTAACAAGGGCCAGAGTAGGGAAGGTAGACCTTAAATTGATACCTGAAAAACAGGTGAGGTTTGATTTGGTGGAGGAGAGGGCAAAGGACTTCTAAGTTCTCAGAAATGATGGTAAGGAAGCAGACAGGTTTCTTTCTATTGATATATCCAGAAAGGAACAATGTTCTGTGGAAGAATGGAACACACCAGGAGTGACTGAAGCCTGGATTGAGACATAGTCCATTGAAGTAGTGCTCACTGGCAGGACAGAAAAATAGAAGTTCAGTTCAGAAGTATAGTTGAGAGGTAGCAAGCCGAAAGGCCTACAGGAGCCAAGCAGGTCACAGAAATTGCAGTAGGCTAGATAGGGACTGTGATGAAGTCAAGAGTCTATGCCACTTGAAGGCACTTACCTCTCAGTTCCAGACGGTTTGCCTTGCAGGAATGTGGACGCGGCGTTACCAGAACCTCTGAATGTTCAGAACCTCCTGGACATCTGTCTGTTTTTGTGAAGTCTTCTAATATTTAAGTATTGAGAACTGATTAAAATTAAAAACAGAATTAAAATTAAAACAAAAATAACAGGGCATTTATAGCAAAACCTGCACACAGATATTTATAGCAGCTTTATTCATAATTTCCCAAACTTTGAAGACATCCTTCAGTAGACAAATGGATATTTAAACTCTGGTACATCCAGATGCTGGAATATTATTCAGCTTGAAAAAGAAATTAGCTATCAAGGCACAAAAAGACACAGAGGAACTTCAGTTGCATATTACTAAGTAAAAGAAGTCAGTCTGAAAAGGCTACATACTGTGTAATTACAACTGTATGATATTCTGGAAAAGGCAAAACCATATGGAGACAATGAAAAGATTAGTGTTTGCCAGAGGCTAGTGGGGAGAGAGGGATGAATACACAGAACACGGAGGATTTTTAGGGTAGTGAAACGATTGTGTATAGTACTATAATGGTGGATATATGACATTTTATATTTGTCAAAGCCTATAGAATATTCAACACCAAGAGTGAACCCTAATGTAAACTATGGAGTTTGAGTGATAATGATATGTCATGTAGGTTTATCAGTTATAACAAATGTACACTTAGTTGCAGGATGTTAATAGTGGGGGATACTAGTTGTAGGAAGAGACAAAGTATATGGGAACTCTGTACTGTCTACTCACTTATGCTGAGAACTTAAAACTAGTTTTTAAAATAAAGTCTATTTTGGCCGGGCGCAGTGGCTCACACGTGTAATCCCAGCACTTTGGGAGGCCGAGGCGAGCGGATCACAAGGTCAGATCGAGACCATCCTGGCTAACATGGTGAAACCCCGTCCCTACTAAAAAATACAAAAAATTAGCCGGGTGTGGTGGCGGGCGCCTGTAGTCCCGGCTACTCGGGAGGCTGAGGCAAGAGAATGGCGTGAACCCGGGAGGTGGAGCTGGCAGTGAGCTGAGATTGTGCCACTGCACTCCAGCCTGGGCGACAGAGAGAGACTCCGTCTCAAAAATAAAATAAAATGAATAAAAAATAAAGTCTGCATGGAGACTATCCTGGCTAACACGGTGAAACCCCGTCTCTACTAAAAAAGTACAAAAAACTAGCCGGGCGAGGTGGCGGGCGCCTGCAGTCCCAGCTACTCGGGAGGCTGAGGCAGGAGAATGGCGTGAACCCGGGAGGCGGAGCTTGCAGTGAGCTGAGATTGGGCCATTGCGCTCCAGCCTGGGTGGCAGAGCGAGACTCCGTCTCAAAAAAAAAAAAAAAAAAAAAAAGGCTGCTTTTTTAGAAAACAGTAGTAGGACAAACGAAACATATCTAGGAGTCAGATTCAACTTTCAACCCACCAATTTACAGCCTCTGCTGTAGATTCAACCTTAGAGTTCAAGCCAAGGTCCAGCCAAGGTAGCAGTCAGATAAATGGTTAGCATTAGAGAGGTATGGGAGAAGATAACAGGGGTGTCCTGACCAGCACAGTGACTGCAGAAACGGACAGTAGGGAGATGTCGGTAAGATGCCAGCAGTTGGTATCAAAGGCCTTGCAATCATAGTTTTCTGGCTTTGAGCCACAGACCTAAAGTTCTGGCCCCTGCAAATAGCTGGCCAGGCAGAGAAGAGTACCTGTTCTGAAAGAGCTAGAGGGCGAAGCAGATGAAGAGGATACACACTCGTGCTGACAGAAACGGGGAGAGATCCAGTTACCAAAGTGGACCACAAAGCAAGAATGTGGTCACAGGACCCAGGCACAAACACAGCCACTTAAATTATAGTTCAGTGGTTCAGGGGTGACACTAGGTGCTGGGCTAATTAGCTTTTTCTTTTCCTTTTTTATTTATTTATTTATTTATTTATTTATTTTTTTTGAGACGGAGTCTCACTCTGTCGCCCAGGCTGGAGTGCAATGGCGCAATCTCAGCTCACTGCAACCTCCGCCTCCTGGCTTTAAGCACTTCTACCTCAGCCTCCCAAGTAGCTGGGACTACAGGCATGCACCACCACACCCAGCTGATTTTTGTATTTTTAGTAGAGATGGGGTTTTACCATGTTGACCAGGCTGGCCTCGAACTCCTGACCTCAGGTGATCTGTCTGCCTTGACCACCCAAAGTGTTGGGATTACAGGCGTGAGCCACTGCGCCCAGCCTGAAGCTAATCAGGACTTTGTTAGTAACAGACAATAGACACTCAATTCGAAATAGCTTAAGCAAACAAATAAAAATAAGTAAATTTTTTAAAAAGAATGTATTGCCTCGTGTAACTGAAAAGCCCTGTGGTAGAGCTGGCTTCAGATGACTTAGGGGTCCATTAGGCTGTTAGGAGTCTGTGTCTGTTTGTGTCTGTCACTCCTGCTTTCTGTTATGTTTCTGTTTTCTTTCTAGCTGTCTCTATATGGTGAGCCCCAGTGACTACAAGCTTACATTCTCTTATAGCCAGCAATCTTACTGGGAAGAAAACTTGTCTTCCCTGGTAGTTTCAATAAAAGTCCCAGGATTGAGTCTTTTTGGACTGGTTTAGGTCACATGCCCATTCATGAACCCATCACTGTGACCAGGGTGGTGGAACATTTTTTTTTTTTTTTTTTTTTTTGAGACAGAGTCTCACTCTGTCGTCCAGGCTGTAGTGCAGTGGCGTGACCTCAGCTCACTGCAACCTCCACCTCCAGGTTCAAGCAGTTCTCCTGCTTCAGCCTCCCGAGTAGCTGGGACTACAAGGAACACGCTTTTTAATCAGGCCTGGGTCCCTTGGCCAACTTAATTTTGTTGTCTATAGAATGGGACAGAAATGGGTGTCCAAAGGATTCAACAGAATAGATGCTAGGATGCATAAACAGAATTCCATTACACCAAGTTACTCAAGTTAGCTAGGGCCTTTAAAATTTCCTTTTCTTTGCCTCCACATGTCAGTGTCAAGGGAAAAGATAAAAAGATTCTGGAACATCAGGTAAGGCATGACAAAGATGCCCATATTTACCATGAAGTACAAATAGCTGAGATTGTTCATAAATATTGAGGATTGATGATGGTAGACAACTCCATCTCAGTGGGAATTATCACATGAACAGCTCAAAATGAGAATGACTTAATGAGTGGCGTTCATTAAATACTTCACATTTTAAGTAGGATATAAGTGAAACATTATTATATAACAATTCTTTGGGCTGCAATCAAGTCTAGCATCTTATATTAAGAAGATTAATTAGCTAATGTTTGTAAAGTACTGTGCAGATATGCCCTTTTAAAATGCTAAGTATTCTAAAAACTACATTGTAGCATTTTACTAACTATAAAAGATCTAATATTCATTATTTCTTTGGTACAGGTTGGCAAAGATTCTTTTGGCAATGATTATATAGAAAACTTAAAACAGAATGATATTTCTACAGGTAAAATTCCCATCTTTTTTAAAGTTACTGTTGATAGCTTTTTTCCATGATTTTGTTATGAGAAAAATTGAATCTAGAGGAGAATTATTAGACCTTCCCCTGGTGGCCAGAGAATTTTTATGCACAGCTTTGTCCATTCTTGCTTAAATGTCCTTTGGTTTATTCTTCCATGTACATTCCTCCAGATGGGAATAAAATGATAAGAGATTACAAACCTTCATCTCATGGATATGTGACAAATGACAAGGAGAAAAAGGTGCTGCATTCACAAAAGGTGTTTTAAGAACGTTACAGCTGGCAGCACTCATTAGAAGCCATAGAGACTGAAACCATTATTTCACAGAAGAGAAAACCAAAGGCCAGAGATGTTCTGTGATTTTTCCAAGAGCACACAGTTGGTTGGAGCCAGAACCAGGACTAGAATAAAATCTTCTGACTCCAGTTCAGGGCTCTTTGCTGCTACCAAAGACTGCCTGGTCAACATTTCTGTTTATATGCTAGACCTTGATTCTTGGTGAAATAACAAGCTTATGAGAATGAAAATAATCAAACAAGTTCATTTTATAGGTTTGACCTTTATTTCTTATCTCAACTCTGACATTCCTTTCAAGGAAGAACATAAGTGTGTTGGTCTAGAAAAATGCATATGTATACAATTATGAATAATTGGGGGGACTTGAAAGTAGGAGCAGTTTGGTGGGTTGTTACTAATGCAGAGAAAAGGTGCAACTAAATATAAAGCTGTCTATTTTTCTTGTTGTATAGATGATGGGTATAAATTAGCACTAATTACTTATTTTTTTTATCATTACAGATGGTTAAAGGTTAAAAAGTTTTTCCGAGGATTAGTGTTGTATTGAAATTGTTAAAATAAATTATACATGCCAGTCTGTATACATGTGATTGTAATTTTCTTTTTTCTTTCAGAATTTACATATCAGACTAAAGATGCTGCTACAGGAACTGCTTCTATAATTGTCAATAATGAAGGTAAGTGTTTTGCATATTGGAGTGTCATTTCGTAAGACAGTGTATTTCCAGAGTTAGATCAGAAGCATCATCAATTTTGACCCATAATCCTATGGACCTCTTACTACAGCCACCACTCAAGGCCTAAAACATAGTTTTTCCAATCCAAATGTAAATGTGTTTCCCTTTATTTATAATTCTCACGTTGATTGTTCAGATCAGTTTTCAGACGATTTTCAAAATTGTCTCTCCAGTATATATGAAGTTGCCTCAAAATAATATGTATATGCTGTAATGTCCCCATTACCCTTCATGTGAACTTATAATTGACATTTGTCTCTAAAAGCAGTCAAGCATTCATCTGTCATTTCAATTACACTAGGTAAATAAATGTAAATAGGTGCAAAGAAAAGTTTGATGAGTCATATTTATAGAATACGTTCTGAGCAAATGGCAGCAACTAATTACATCCAACTTATCTTTAGTGTTCAATTTTGTCTGTTCTTTCAACAGCAATCAAATCGCAAAAGTCTATATATACAACTAAGTCTGCCACAAGGCTTTGCCATAGCTGATACATGTATCTTTTAAAATAGTAATTGGGCCTGGCACAGTGGCTCACACCTGTAATGCCAATGCTTTGAGAGGCTAAAGTGGGAGGATCACTTGAGGCCAGGAGTTCAAGGCTGCAGTGAGCCACAGTCCCACCACTGCAGTTCAGCCTGCATGACAGAGTGAGACCCTGACTCTAAATAGATAAATGAATGAGTGACTGAATGAATGAATGAATTAAAACAGTGGCTGAGCGTGGTGGCTCACACCTATAATCTCAGCACTTTGGGAGGCCAAGGCGGGTGGATCATTTGAGGTCAGGAGTTCAAGACCAGCCTAACCAACATGGTGAAACCCCGTTTCTACTAAAAATGCAAAAACAATTAGCCGGGCCTGGTGGCACATGCCTGTAATCTCAGCTACTCAGGAGACTGAGGCAGGAGAATCGCTTGAACTCACGAGGTGGAGGTTGCAGTGAGCCCAGATCGGGTGACTACACTCCAGCCTGGGCGACAGAGCAAGACTCTGTCTCAAAAAAAAAAAAAAAAAATAGTAACAACCTTCAAGTCAGGTTTTTATAATTTCTGCCAACTGTTTTAATTATAAAAACACCTACATAAGATGTTTTAAAATCAGAATCAATATTCAGAAGGACGCAGCATTTCGTGGGGCACCTAGGACAGAGCCTCATGTGTTGTGGACAGTGTGCATTTTATTAAATTAGGATTTGTCACAATGTGTCTTTTATTTATAATGCAGCTTTGCAGGATCATTTCTCACAGAAAATACAGTATTTTTAACTCAACTTTAGTGATTCCAAGTTGCAATAATAATGGTATGTTTCACCTAAAGGTAGTAGATAAAAGTTTTCATTCTAACTATAGAAAGCCTGTGTTCATTTAAGCTACCTTTTAAGTAATTATTCCTGCCAACAGCAGCTCATTCCTTGTCTTAACCCTCTTTTGTTGTTGTTGTTCTAGGAATATCCTCAAGTTCTCTTTCTTATTTATGAACAAAATCTGCATTTTCCATGCAAAGATATAATGTAATAGTGTGTGTCAAGTGCCTATTTGGTAGACCTTGCCTGGTTTACAGTGTACAGTAATGCCCTCAAGAGTATAGGTGGTAATAGAAGAATTCAGACAAATACACAGAGATGGGACAATCAGCTCCCTTAAACGAAGGAGTGAGTTTGCAAGTTTAGTTTTGACAAGTTAAATTTGAGGCATGAACAAGCTAGCCATATGGCATTGTCCATCAGACAGCTATAGTCTTGGGCTTGTTGCTCAGCAGCTAAGGCCAGGCCAAAAATTTGGATCTGGGAGACAGCAACATGGAAGTAGCAGTTGACTCCAACAGAGAAAATGAGGTCACTGAAGAAAATGAAGGAGAGATGCTGTCTTTCAGCAAGTGGGTACTTTGAATTTTTCCAGGACTGAGGTTAGGTTTATGCTGAACCATCCCCACTTTATTAAGCCTTCCTCGTGGCCAACAAACACATCTGTGGTAAGATGATAGGATAGAATTTGTTCTGTGTTGAGAGGTGATTTTAGGTCATATCTATACAAGATCAGCACGAGCAGCCTGGAGCACAGAAAATGCCTGCTACAACTCATTCCTCCAGATCAGTGTTGTCCAATAAAAATAAAATGCAAGCCACATGTGGAATTTTAAATTATCTAGTAGCCACATTTTAAAAAGTAAAAAGGAACAGGTAAATTTAACTTAGGCAATATATTTAACCCAATATGTCCAAAATATTATCATTACAGTGTGTAATCAGAAATTTATCTTGGCTGGGCGCAGTGGCTCATGTCTATAATCACAGCACTTTGGGAGGCCAAGGCAGGTGGATCACATGAGGTCAGGAGTTCGAGACTAACCTGGCCAACATAGTGAAACCCCGTCTCTACTAAAAATGCAAAAAAAAAATTAGCCAGGCGTGGTGGCACACCCCTGCAATACCAGCTACTTAGGAGGCTTAGGTGGGAGAGTTGATTGAAGAACCCAGGAGGTGGAGGCTGCAGTGAGCCGAGATCGCATGACTGCACTCCAGCCTGGGCAACAGAGCGAGACCCAAAAATTTATCTTATTTTTTTTTTAATTTTTAAAATGGTAAGAATGAATGGATATTTTACCTTATTTCCTTTGTACTATCTTTGAAATCCACTTGTATTTTGCTTGAAGCACACCTGAGTGGACTAGCCACATTTCTTTTTTCTTTTTTTTTTTTTTTTGAGACAGAGTCTCACTCACTCTTGCCCAGGCTGAAATGCAGTGACGTGACCTCAGGTCACTGCTACCTCTGCCTCCCAGGTTCAAGCGATTCTCACACCTCAGGCTCCCGAGTAGCTGAGACTGCAGGCACATACCACCACGCCCAGCTAATTTTTGTAATTTTAGTAGAGATGGGTTTTCAGCATTTGACCAGGCTGGTCTTGAACTCCTGACCTCAAGTGATCTGCCCACCTTGGCTTCCCACAGTGCTAGAAATTATAGATATGAGCCACTGTGCCCAGCCAGGACTAGCCACATTTCAAATGTTCAATGGCCATGTGGGGCTTGTGCTCATGACTACCATATTGGACAGCACAGCTCTTAAGGGTTCACCTTACAGATGAAATGCACCACCACCCCTCCCTCATTCAGGTGGGATTAAAGACAGCAGGTCCAAGTAATAAGAATATATCAGAATCCTTAGTTCTGTTTCTGTTTGATCCATTATAGTATAAGCCAGGTATCCCTCTCTCTTCTATATCTGATACAATTTTCTATCTGTTAGATATTTTAAATGTGTTTTGATTGACAGCATCACTTTTTAGAATACCATAGGGTACACATGAACTGCTTGCATACTACAGTGTCATACGAGTTTATTCCTATTTATATTCGTCTCTATAGCATCTGTCATTTAGGATTCAGAACCTTTACCACATACATATACCAGCTATTTTCTATAGAAGAAATGTTTAAAGTATGTTATATGTCATTTCTCAACTAATATTCTTTATATATAAGAATATTGGGAAAATCTTTTTAAGATTTTGCTTAAGGTGATCAGAATAATGTGAATCTTACAGAGATATTACAAAACATACATTTGGAACTCAAAATTCAAGCTGAATAACCTAGAAATGTTAAAATTAATACTTACAACACATTTTGTATAATGACTTTACAAGGGTGATTGTATTCATAACACTGCAGAATATCATTGCTTGGCTTTGTTTAGTTTTAATATAAATAGGTGGAATTTCTTTATAGGCCAGAATATCATTGTCATAGTGGCTGGAGCAAATTTACTTTTGAATACAGAGGACCTGAGGGCAGCAGCCAATGTCATTAGTAGAGCCAAAGTCATGGTCTGCCAGCTCGAAATAACTCCAGCAACTTCTTTGGAAGCCCTAACAATGGCCCGCAGGAGTGGAGGTAATTATACATATTTGTCATTGTTTCTATAAAAGCTTTTATCGCCATCTTAAAGTTAGCCGTCTTAATTTTAAGTTAAGCAAAGCAATACTCTTTCTGTAGTAAAATATTCTTTCTTCCATCTGTGAGATTCATAGTCTTGTGGTTCTTGATAATGTTAGAGAACCTTACAAACGGTTAAAAAAAACATGAGTAGCATTTCCAAAATCCCTCCATATAAATCTTCAATGTAGTTGGAAGAAATGGTACAAGTAGAATTAGAATTCCTGTAATCCCAGCTACTTAGGAGGCTGAGGTAGGGGAATCGCTTGAACCCGGGAGGTGGAGGTTGCAGTGGGCTGAGATCACATTGCTGCACTCCAGCCTAGGTGACAAGAGCGAGACTCCATCGCAAAAAAAAAAAAAAAGAATCCCTGAAGCAGCCGCTTGTCCAAGGTACACATTAGGTGGTGAAATGTTTTCTACTCTGAGAAGCAGAGGTCAAGCTGCATGTCATACATACAAATACATACATACATACATACATACATACATACAAATACATGCATACATACAAATACATACATACATACAAAACTAACTGGGGCAGCCCAGTTACTTTTTGACAAACATCTCTAGGAATTGAAGATTAGATTTTTTTCTCCTTTTCATAAAACTTTATCATTTTCAATAAACAACAAAAGATTGTTTATATGTAATATTTTCTATGTTATCAATATCCATTGACATTGCCTCTTTTGTTTGACCTTTGATTTTGGAAATTTTCAAACCTACAAAAGCAGCAGAATTGTACGATGAAATCCATCACCCAGCTTCCAGTTAGCAACCTGTAGCTAATCTTGATTCATCTGTTCTCCCAGTCACTCCTCTTCTCTCACCTCCAGCAAATAACAGACTTTTTAAGAATCCAGATAATTTCTTTGTTTGCTTCTTTTTCACCACTGACTAGTGGGGAAAGCATCTTCTGAATTAAAATCCCATTTCTGTCCCTGTCAGCCTTGTGGTCCTAGCAGAATTACCTGATTTGTCTGAGCCTTGTCAGTAAAATGCATATAGAAATACTCCATCTGCAGAATTGTTCTCAGGATGGAATAAAATAAAATATGATGCCAAGCATGGTGTAGTACATGGTGGTAAATCCCAATTTTTTTCTCTTCCATCCACTTCTGTCTTTAAAGTTAGGATAATATCCTGATCAAGCATCATTTGGTGAAAAAATTCAAAATAAATAGTAGCCACTCTAACATGATGACTTCTTGATGTTGTGGCAATAGTTCTGTGATTTTTTTAAGAATAAAGTAGAGAACCACATTGACTTTTTCTGAAGATACAAAACTAAAAAGAAAAAAGAAAAAGAACTGTGTGTGTGTGTGTGTGTGTGTGTGTGTGTGTTTATATAAGTGATTTCTCCCAAAGTGTACAGTGTTCTACATAGAAATAAATGGAAAATAAGTCAGTGAAATGATTTTGTGGAGAATTTTTAAATGTTCGTCCTGATTTCACAAATTTTCCTCTTGGCAAAACAACATGCTGTGGTAAATTTTCACTGACATTTAGTGTATTTTTAATGGACTTGAAGCTGTCAGAAAGAATTCTAAGCCAAAACCCATTTGGTTCCATTTTCTCAGAGTGTCACAGTAAAGTCTAATGCTTATGGTTACGCATTCTCTGCACTGTGCCCATCTCAGCAGAGTGATGTGAATACAGGGTGCCACCCTGCTCCTGCTCTTGTGTTTCTTTGTATAGATCAAAGCGTATTCTCGTGTAACTTCTGTTTTTTTCCTACTATCCCTTGCTGCTCAGAGATCACTGTTTCCTCTGTCCTAGTCTAGTTGCCTGTTACCTACCCAGCTTGTGAAGGAGAGAAAGGTACGGCAGCCACAGTTGAGGATCTAACCTTTCACAGGTGAGAATAGAGTAATCCGGATGGGCAGGCAGCCTACCCTGGGGCTGTCATTGGGTTGGGTCCAGAAAGGCTTCATCCCCTTCCGTGTAGCTCTTCCATTTGGGAGCTGGAGGACCCAGGGCAGCAGGAAGGTGGGTAGGTAACAGTGGGTCACAGACCACTTGGCCTACTTCACACTTTTACTAAGAGCCAGCATGCCTTGCTATTAATTCTGCATGAACTTCCTTATATAATAATATCAGAAATAGTAATATCATGCATTTATATGTACTTTACAGCTTACGAAGTACTTTCTTACACATTTTATCCTCAGAAAAACCTTATGACAAAGATATGGCAGGTAGTGTTCTCTCAGATTAACGGTGAGAAGACTGAGACTGAGAAGTTAAGTCATTTGTTCAACCAGTGTCACACTTTAAGTTATGGAAACCGTGATTTCAGACTCTAAGACCCAAGTTCTGTCTCCTAGTTTAAACCGCACTTCAAACTGCCACAACCCATTGATTCCAACAAACTGAGCCTTTATGAAGAGTATCTCTAGAAAAATCAAGTCCATAAATGTTAACACTGTCCAGCACGTGGCCTAAGCTTTATGTGTTTTTCTGCCCAAGAAACAGAGAAGAGGCTCTAAAGTGTTTTCAGCACTGTGACTCCAACAGAACACACACGGGTGCGCGCGCGCACACACACACACACACGCACACAAGCACACACACTCATCTGTCCAGAAGTCCTCCAGTCAGGCGGCTTTCTCTGGCCAAGTCAGCTGGTCCCTATTTGGTAGATACTAACGAGATGCAGCTTAGATTCTATTCCATGAGGAGGGTGTGTGTGTGTATGTGTATATGTGTGTTTGTGTGTGTGTAATGTATCATCATTCTCATATGCAAGAAGAGCAGTATCCCAGCACTTTGGGAGGCCAAGATGGGCGGATCACGAGGTCAGGAGATTGAGACCATCTGGCTAACACAGTGAAACCCTATCTCTACTCAAAATACAAAAAAATTAGCCGGGCATGGTGGCGGGCGCCTGTAGTCCCAGCTACTCAGGAGACAGAGGTGGGAGAATGGTGTGAACCCGGGAGAAGGAACTTGCAGTGAGCCGAGATCGCGCCACTGCACTCCAGCCTGGGCGACAGAGCAAGACTCCATCTCAAAAAAAAAAAAGAAGAAGAAGAAGATTGGTATAATGAAAGGAGAGCATTGGTTTGGGAATCATGAAATATGGCTTTAAATTCATAATCAATCAGCAAATGGGGGATCTCAGTCAAGTAAGTCAGTTCCTCACTGTGGACGTCACTTTCTTCTGTGAAACCAGAATTGGGCTGACAGCTCTCAGGGTTCTTTCACGTCACTTTGGACTGATCCCAGAGCAGAGTGGGCTTAATGATCTCTTAAGCATTGAGCGCCCTACCCTTTGCCCCAGGAAGCTGCCTATGTGCCGAACAGCATTATTCCATCTTCAAGAAAGATGATAAAGTCATCATCATCATCATCGTCTATGGGTTTTGTTATCACAGTTCCATTATCTTTACTGCTTACAAGTAGTGAATTTTGAATTAAGCACATTGTATAACTAGATTATGCTAATATATCAGTCATGAAAATCCAGAGGAAAAGATCCCTACATCTTTGAATATACTGTCTCAAAACTCTGTCTCTATCAAAATGAAAGCATCGATTTTAAAGACATAGCAGCTACAACACCAAAAATCGGTAGCCCTGTATAGCCCCCATCCTCACCAGGCCACAATGCTATGAGGTAGGCCCACCGAAGAGCCAATGCTGCAGCTGCTTGTGATGAAATTATGCATGTTGGTTCTGGTCTTTATATCCATTTCCAAGCAAATGGAACAGTACATGAACAATTATAAATAATTGAGATTGTAAAATTGCCAAAGTTAAATTATCAGTATGATACAAAGTATCTTTTAATGCCACTTAGTCCTTTTGCCTTTGGCAAGCAAAACTTCTTGTCTGGTCATCCAGACTTTCACAGTGACATTGTCCAGCACATAGCCCAAGCTTTGAGTGTTCTTGCTGCTCAAGTCACAGAAAAGAGTAATGGACAGCAAAGCCAGTATTTTGAGTATCCCAACATGCTCGCAGTATCTTCACTTAGGGTGATTTTCTTCCCTGGTTTCTCTGAGCTAATTATTAGGACCTTCCTAACTGTCCAGCCCCTGCCCTCCATGACAACACTATAAAGAGTTTCTGCCTCGTTTTCCTGCCTTTTAGCCTATACATCTGCTCCTCCAGGCCTCACCAGTTCCTTACTGACATTATTGTGCTATCCATTAACATGCAGTTAAGATAACTAGGAGTTTAGTTCCTCTGACACTACAATTAATAATAATCACTGTTGGGTGCTGCCAGTCACCTCTGCAACTCCAAGTTACTCCATGGTACATTCCGTGTTCTCTAGCTCTGCCTGGTCCCAGGATGACATAATGGCTTCTACCTTGTCTATTACAGATTTGCATTCTTTGATTAGCTGCATCTGCTAATTTATGTTTCTTTCATCATGGTAGAGTATGCTTATTTGTGGTAGCACAAGCCGAGAAGAATCCTTTCTTTATGGCAGTTACACTTTTCCTCTAAATTTAGTTACTAGTCAGACTCTAAGCCTATGTATCCAGTTACTATTGAAGAATGCTGTCCCTCAGTAAAGTACAGGCAAATAAGATTGATTTTTATACAGTATTTACAGTAAAATTACAGAATTCCTTATTCTAGCAATTGATACTTAAATTTTAATGTAATTTTTTCCTTAAAATTTGTTTTTATTATGGAAATTTTCAAATATATATAGACATACAGAGAGTAGTATGGTAAACCTATCTATACTATCATTTAGCTTCAACAGTTACCAACATGTGGCCAGTCTTTTTTTCTACTTTTAAATTCAATCTTTTGTTTTAGACACCGTGGGGTACATGTGCAGACTTGTTTTTGTTTTGATTTTGTTTTTCTTGTTTGTTTGAGATAGAGTCTTACTCTGCCCACCCAGGCTGGAGTGCAGTGGCATGATCTCGGCTCACTGCAGCCTCCACTTCCCAGATTCAAGTGATTCTTATGCCTCAGCCTCCAGGGTA